AAATGGGTAACATATCCAGTCAGATTGGCAGTGCTCAGCCCATCTGTGGAAAGGATGTGAACTGAATTAATAATACTTCGAACTGAAGCAGAAAGAGCTTTGGAGGGAAGATGTCTTCAAATGAAGCCCCAAGTGTACACTTTCTCCACCTCTCACTTAACAGGCGGAGTGGTTGCAAAGGGCAACTTCAACACCTTTCCACAGCAGCCCAGTCACTGTCAGTGTGACTTGAAAAGGAAAGGGGATGTGAGTTCTACAGACAGCACTCATCCCCTGAGACATAGGCACGGCTTTCGTGTTCAATCACTGTGTTTAATTCAATTATCTGCCCCCGCCACCCCCAACTGTCTGCCTTACAGGGGAGGTTGGGAGGAGAGTGATGCCTGATGCTTCTGCAAGTCCCAAAAGATATGCATTCTTTATTAGGGAATTCAATGAAGGATGAGCTCTTACTCACTCAGCTGTTTCCTCTGGGAAGTCATCATGCAGCTCCAGCTGCCTACAGCAGGAGGATGACATGGTCTATGCAATGCATTGAAAATTTTTTTTTTTTAGATTGAATTCAGTTAGTTGTTTGTTTGTTTTAAAGAGAGCTCATTTTAATCCATCTTTTAAAATCATATTTTTGAAGGTGAAAACCATAACAAAGTCCTATTCACCTCTAGAAATTGCAGGGTCCAGGAATCTAGACAGTTATAGTCAGGTCTAATGATTTTCCCTCTTTCCTTTCTTTGTTTTATCTATTCACTTGTTGATTCATTTCAAGGGATGATTAAGACTACTTCTGTACAACAATTGAGGTAGAGGAGAAACAGATTACAGTTCAACCAACTGTTTTAATTTTATTTTTAGCGATAATTACAAAAAGCAATTTTTAAAATTGTGATGTTTTCATAACAAAAAATTTTTATAACAAAATAAGTAATAAAGATTATGAAAACTTATATTTTCTTAGACTCATAAATGCTCACCCTGTCAATAAATGAATCATTCAGTGGTTAAAGTTCTCTTAACTAAATTAATCAAAACTGATTGTTTGGTGAAGAAAATTATCTAGTTTATTTCAAGAAATAGTTAAGTCATAAAGTGAAAGAAAAGAAGAAATAGGCCATATCAGGGAAATTGAAGAAATCTAGACTAATCTGATGTTTTCATCAATAAGTCACAAACCTTCTAATTGTTTCAGAAAATAAACATACTGCTATATTTTTTTTAATAAATAGAATAATAATGCTAGGAAGGTATATTATAAGCTGGTATTTTTCCAAATTTGAGCCTATACATTTTTCTTTAAGAAATTCCCAGATCCAGTAATATGCACTCTCTGGATTTTGAGAAATACTGGCTAAGACTTTCAAACATTCCTTGAAAATATCTTTTAGCTTCAGATAATCACAACAAAATATAAAATTTATCTTTATATGGTCAAAATTGTTTTTTATTCCAAATATATTCTTGGTAAAAGCTAAGAAGTAAAACAACCAAAACCTGTAGAACTTGTGGACCTATGAGTTTATACCCGTAGACTCAGTTTGAAAAACACTACTTGATGGCTATTTAACCAACACTAGAAACTTGTTGACAGTTCTTTCCTTTTTCATACATGTGTTAAATTGCCTCTCTCTGAGCCTTATATTTAATTCAGTTCCTGAATCTTGCTCCCAAGTTTTCTTCACCATCGTAGAATCTGAACAATAATGAAAGGATTGATGACAGTGAGTATCTTCTGAAACTTTTTACCTAAGGGATTGACAGGCCTGTTTTCTTTTCTTTTCCATTCTGATTGGAAAAAAAAAAATTGTCCTTTGGAAACTGGTCTTATTAGGAGCTTATTTAATCAAAGGTATGTCTCTATAAGTGTTGCCAACAATATATATTTATTGAGCGTCAGTTAAATGTGACACTGGTACAATTAATGTTCTACCCAATTAATAATATTTTAAAATTAGAAATAGTATACATCTTTATGTATAACTCACCATAAGTTTACTGAAGAGGACATTTAGAAAATGTAAATTTACATTTTTCTTGGCATGTTGAGTATGTTGATGGAAAGATTAGGATTATTCACATCCAAAGATAATGACCAATACAAGTAAATGAGTAATGAAAAATAAACAGTTATAGATGAATAATGGAGAGAAGAGTTTAGGGAAATGAAATTTAAGCAGGATCTTGAAAGAAAAATAGAATTGGGATAGAAGAAATGGAGGCAAGAAGGTATTCCAGGCAGGAAACACAAAGAGTTAGAGGTAGGAAATTTTATTTGGAGGACAGAAGTTAGAACAAAAGGCTGAAGCCAGATGATTACATAAAGAGCTTTCTAAGATAGCTCCAAAGACACTGATGGCTAAGGACTTTGGACTCAATTGCTGGAGGTGTTGAGCAGGGTACCAAAATGAAGAAAGCAGTGCTTCTAGATGATTAAATTTACAGGAGGGTAGGGGACAGGATTTTAAAGGAAGGAACTTGAAAACTTAATTCAGGATATTGCTTTTTTTTGTTGTCTACAGTGGTATACTCAGAAGAGGGTATAGACAGAGTTGTTTTTCATTTCTAGCCATTTCCCCAGTGACAAGTAATGAGGGCAATGCAGGAGATGACAAATTGAGGATGGTTATGACACTAAGAGTTTCTCTTCTAAGACCTGCTTCTCCCACAGGACTGCATAGTTGAGGCAGGGAAGCTGAACACTGCATATCTTCTCTGCCTTTGTCCCTGCCCTTCTTGCCTGCTCCTCATATCTCCTGCTTAGGGCAGCATTTCTGAGACTCAGCAATAGTAACATTTGGGCCTGGATAATTCTTTGTTCTGGGAGGCTGTAGTGTGCATGGGAGTATGTTTGGAAGCATCCCTGCCTCTACCCACTAGATGCCACTAGCATCCTCCTTACCTTCCCAAGTTGTAACAGCCAGACATGTTTTCAGATATTGCCAAATGTCCCCAAGAGCACCAAATCACCCTCTGTAGAGAACCGCTAGGTTCAAGAAACTTAGGGGTTCTCTACAGGTTCAAGAAACATAGTGGTTCTCTACAGAAACGTATCCTGTTGAATGTTAAGTATTTGTGATAGAAGACGGATTATTTCCCTTATTGATGGTAGGATTCTGGTTTGCCTGGGAGAATGCTGGTTTACATCTGTTTTCCCCATTTCTATCTCGTTAGTAGCTCCTTTTACTCTATAAAGTGGCTGGGGTTGGATGGTAAATTATATGATGATTCTAATATGGGAAGTTACTAGAATCATGAGAGGGCAACCAGTGAATACTAGGAAAGTAAGAGATAAAGGGGCAATGTGCCCTCTAGCTTCCCCAGGTGATTTTTCCTAGAGGAGACACCAGAGTTAAGATTCAAAGAACATTAGGAGTTAACCAGGAAAAGGGGCAAAGACATTTACAAGACAAAGGGAGCACTGGATGCTTTGCAGGGTGAGACATAGAAATGGACAAATGGAAGAGGCAGACCAACATGCTAATATAAAAATCTAAAAGTTGCTTTTGCAAACTTGACTTCAGTTGTTAATCTACCTATCAAATTTTTACCCTATCTGGGAAAATGGGCAGTGGCATTTTTAGGCTATAAATTCTAAATGTGAATAACATTTATCTTTTGTAAAAGAAATAGGATTGATTGCTAAAAATTGTCCAAAAGGAGAGGAGGGTCAGTTCCCTAACTTTGGGTTTGTGTATGTGGTGATATTGAAATGCACCCATCACCTTCTTTTCCTTTTATCTGAATGTTTGTAACCAAGATGTAACTAGAGAAGATCCAGCATACCATTACACGTATAGATTTCAAAGACATGGGAAGAAATCTTATTTCAGCATCTGTAGTTGTTTTTATTAAAAGCAGTTTAAATTCCCCTGCCTAGAGCAGTCTGGAATTATAGAGATGGGCTGCAGAAATTTACATTTTAATTGAGGCAGAAGACAAAATAGGGCATGGTGCAGCATTCACACATTATAAGGAAGAATAAATAAGATATGTATCAGCTGGGAGAAAAAAATGACTAGTCGTTTTTCATTGCCTCTTGCACTTAATTTTTTCATATGGCACTGAGCTGAGTTGGGCCTGCTAAGCAAAAACCATTTTTCCAGTCAAAATGTTTACTATTTCAGAAAGTTCTTGCGTGAAAATATTTTCACACTATGGAGCAAATACACAAATACTCAAATAGGCCTGCATTTCGGTGTGCAAGTATGTATGGCAGTGTTTATAATGTCTCAAATGTCTATAAATATAAATAACATATCCCAATGAGCTATACAGAAAATGATTTAAAATATGAGGTATAACTGAGAATGATTGATAGGCATAATCTGTTAAACACTGTAATTTGAGCTATTTTATAGTTTCATAGAAATAGAATAAAATTTTATAGAAATACAATTTTTCTCCATGGATAAATTTCATCCTTCGATTAGTGTGGAAGTCCCTCCAAAGAATGGGAAAGACTTAGGTTTTCAGACTTGAGGATTTACTTGTGTTTGGCAATCACCTTGAGAAAACACCCACTGGATTTTTTGTTTCTATTTTTTGTTATATGTTTGGTCATTCATAGAAAACTAAGTTGAGAATTCATTTCCTCATAAGGAAAAAATAATATACATAAAAGGTGTATCATGATAATGGCTTTTGAAAGTAAGTCTTTGTATTAGTGTAAAAATGTTTTGTAGACATCCACTGTAATTAAGTGTGTTTATCTATTTGCTTAAGCCTTCAACTTTTATTATATCTTCTCTCAGCTGCACATGTATTTTTACATTCATACATGCTCTTTGCCAACCATAATTATTTAGTTAGATTAATTATAGAATTTAAAACCAATAAACAACACATTACTATAGTATGATTATCTAATTATGATTCCCTGCAGAGCTAAGTACTATAATTGGACCCATAGTAAGAAAATGTAATTCTTTTTCCCTAAGTATGTGCCTCTCAAGCACGACGGTCAATAGATTATCTACTTTTAGTCACCAAAACATATCTTTATTTTCTTTTTTTTTTTTTTTTTTTTTTTTTGGCAGAGCTAGCTGAGGTTTTATTTTGGACCAAAAAAAGAAGCAATTGAATTGTTTTATAGCTGGAGGCATGGGCAAAGGGGGTCCCCACGTAGTAAACTCCCCTGTGGGTGGGCTGAGGGCCCTCAGGTGGGTCTCCTGCTCCCAGTGGTACCCTACATAGCGGTCTCCCTCCCAGGCTCTGGGGCAGCACAAGAGGGGTAGGCTGGGAGGGGGTGCCGCAGCTGTTCACTTGGGCAGGACGTCAGAGGACTCGGACACCAGCTTCCCATCGCGTGTCTCGATCTTCTTCACAACCACGGCCCTGGAGGAGCTGGTGCGGCTGAAGGAGCTGGAGCCCTCGCCAGAGCCAAAGCTGGAACCCAGGCCGTAGCTGAGGCCGGGGCTTGTGAGGCCCCCATAGGCCGAGCTCAGACCACCTGCATAGCCGCTGGTGGTCTTCGTATGAATACTCATGTTCTGCATCCCGGACTCCAGCCGGCTCTCCTCGCCCTCCAGCAGCTTCCTGTAGGTGGCGATCTCAATGTCCAGGGCCAGCTTGACGTTCATCAGCTCCTGGTATTCACGCAGCTGCCGCGCCATATCTTGCTTGGCCCACTGCAGGGCGGCCTCCAGCTCGGACAACTTGGTATTGGCATCCTTAATGGCCAGCTCTCCACGCTGCTCGGCATCTGCAATGGCGGCCTCCAGGGAAGCCCTCTGGCCTTTGAGGCCCTCAATCTCAGCCTGAAGCCGGCTGATGTTCCGGTTCATCTCGGAGATCTCAGTCTTGGTGCGCCGCAGGTCATCCCCGTGCTTCCCAGCCAGGCTCTGCAGCTCCTCATACTTGATCTGGTACATGCTCTCAGCCTCAGCCCGGCTGCGGTTGGCGATCTCCTCGTACTGTGCCTTGACCTCAGCGATGATGCTGTCCATGTCCAGGGAGCGGCTGTTGTCCATGGACAGCACCACAGATGTGTCCGAGATCTGGGACTGCAGCTCCCGGATCTCCTCTTCATACAGCTGCCTGAGGAAGTTGATCTCATCAGTCAGCCCTTCCAGGCGAGACTCCAGCTCTACCTTGTTCATGTAAGCTTCATCCACATCCTTCTTGATGAGGACAAATTCATTCTCCATCTCTGTACGTTTATTGATCTCGTCCTCATACTTGTTCTTGAAGTCCTCCACCAGCCCCTGCATGTTGCCAAGCTCTGCCTCCAGCTTCAGCTTCTCCTGGCCCAGAGTCTCCAGCTGCCGCCTAAGGTTGTTGATGTAACTCTCGAACATGTTGTCCATGTTGCTCCGAGCCGTCTTCTGCTGCTGCAGGAGGCTCCACTTGGTCTCCAGCATCTTGTTCTGCTGCTCCAGGAACCGTACCTTGTCTATGAAGGAGGCAAACTTGTTGTTGAGGGTCTTGATCTGCTCCTTCTCCTGGGTGCGCACGGCCTGGATGTTGGGGTCCACCTCCAGGTTAAGGGGACTCAGCAGGCTCTGGTTGACCGTGACTGCGGTGATGCCTCCCATGCCGCTGGCCCCACCATAGCCGCCGCCCAGGCCACCCCGAAAGCTGCTGCTTCCCACTCGGGAGAAGCTCGAGGAGCTGATGCGGGCACCGGGCCCACTCGTGTAGGAGCGGCTGCTGAAGGCCCGGGGGCCAGAGGTGGACACCTTGTAGGACTTCTGGGTCTCCCTGATGGACATGGTGGAGGCAGGTGGGCCAATCAGGAGGAGATCCTAGAAGGAGCGGAGATCCTTTATTTTCTTTATTATTTGACTATAACTTTCCATTTTGCTTTTCCTAGAATTTTAAAATGACATTTTATTGTCTTTAAAAACAATAACATGCCTTTACCTTATCACTAAGATTACATATTTCCTAATCATTTATGTCCTATTATTAAAATGAAAATACATTTTTCTTAAATATCATTTTTTTCCTTGGAGCTCTCTGGATCACTGTTCGAATTTGTGTTGATGATTGTTCAACTCTACCATGTAACTGTCATTTCAGGATATTTTTCCTTTTTATTCCTAGTCTATTCTTGTTAGATTATGCTTATTGTTTTTATCTCTGCTTCCTCCATGCTCGGGCTTCCTTTTTGTTTTTTGTCTTTCATTTTTGATATTCATAAGCAATGCTTCAGAAAAGTAATTGGAAAAATATTTGAGTCCTTGTAAATATCAAGTGACATTATTTTCATCATAGTTACTTAATAATACAGCTGAAGGTTCAAAATAATTTTCCCTCAGAATTCTGAAGACATTGCTTTATTGTCATACAGCATTCAATACTGCTGATGAGAAAGGTAATGGCAATTTAATTCTCCTTCCCTTGTAGATAGGCAGTGTTTCATTTTGGAAGCTTTTACAATATTCTAGGAATCTTTGGAGACCTGATATTAGCAGTAGGTATGGGTCTTGCTAGCCACTTAACCACATAACAACCACTGTATTCTAATGAGCGTTGTCAATTTTTCAGTTACAGGTATTTCTTAACCTATTCTTTCTTTTATTTTTTTCAGCCATCTTATTTACTATGTCTTTTTTTTCCCCTGAAAACCATTATTAGATAGATGTTAGCATCCTGGATTAATTCTCCATGTCTGTTAATCTTTTTCTTATTGTTTCTATTTATTCATCTTTTGGTTCAAAGCAAAATAAGGTTCTTCAACTTTTTAAGCTTTTCTACTAGTTTCTTACTGATTTTTAAGCTTCAAGAACCCTTTCTTCTTGGACTTCTCCCTAAAACTCTACTCTGGTTTATAGTTATAGCAATTTCTTAAATCATCAATGGGACTATTTTAAGCTTCGTTCCTGTTTCTTGCATTATCTTAATGCCTTTTAGGGTTGGCTGTTCTCTTGGCTTACTTTAGTTCCTTTGGGCTGTGTTATTTTCTCAAGGCTTTTGTTAATCATTGACAGTTCATTCATATGTATGAAATAAATGGGATGTTGAGTAATGTCTCCATCACCATGGAAAATTTTATCCCCAAATGTCTCTCTGCTCCAACGTGGGGCTCACCAACTAGGTTGGTGACCTGGCTGGTTTCACTATAGAGTGCTAGGATGACTAGCAGTATGTTGGAAGCTTACAGAATGAGAATGACTTAAGTCTCATTCCTACCTGTGAAAATCATTAAATTTCTTTAGAGAGTAGTTTCATAATTTTAGGAATTAGGAGAAATCTTATTGGTAATGATGCTTCAGTGGGGACCAGAGATTAGTGGGTGGCGAATGACCCAGATATTTCTTAGACAGACTTTCCTCATTTTCCTGCCTCACTTTCTATATTTCCTCTACATCTCTGAGTCTTTGTCATAAAGAGCAGCTCCCACATCCTTAAAGGCTTTGTCCTCTGAATGTTTTAAGTTTTTGTTTTGCCTGCTTTGTTTAAAACAGAAATATGTTCTTCTTCTTCTCTCTTCCATATATCTATCCAAAAAGTTGCTCCATTGAGGCTGTGTTATCTTAACCCAGTCTGTTTTTCAGAACTGTTATAAGTTTATAGATTTTTATTTTTCTCTTCTAATTTCAGTAGGATTTTTAGAATAAGGCAAAAAAAGAATCCTGTCTGATATTTTGTACCAGAAGCTTATATATATATGTATATATACACACACACACGTATGTATACACATGTATGTATATACATGTATATATACGTGTATATACGTGTATATATATACATCCAAACACATATACACACACATACGTGTACTACACATACACATACACACACACACTCTTATATATATGCAGTGGTGTGATCTCGGCTCACTGCAACCTCTGCCTCCCAGGTGCAAGTGATTCTTCTGCCTCAGCCTCCCAGGTAGCTGGGATTACAGGCGCACACCACTACCACCTGGCTATTTTTTGTATTTTTAGTAGAGACAGGGCTTCACCATGTTGGCCAGGCTGGTCTTGAACTCCTGAACTCAAATGATCCACCCGCCTCGGCCTCTCAAAATGCTGGGATTACACGCGTGAGACACCGTGCCCAGCCCAGAAACAATATTTTTAAGACTAAAATCAAAATCTAAATATGGTTTGCTCCCCCTTTCTATCTACATTCACACTCTGGGTAAGAAGCAGTAAAAGCAATCAGGTTTTCACCAGACAAGGAGCTCTATGATTCTCAGCTCTGTCTCATGCACAATGGCTACCAAAAATAAACAAGCAACAACAACAAAAAATGCCCAAATGAAAAGCACTGTAGATTTCCAAGAAACTCTTTGGTTTGCAGGCCTAGTACAAGCAAATTGTTTTACAACCTAAGATCATCCCCTTGTGACTTCATCATTTGTTGACCACACAACTGCTGCCAAACCCTAACTCAAATTCTCCAAGGTAAAACTTGGAAAAATACTTGAGTTTTCATCCATGATTAATTTCATCCATTCTTCATCCATTTCTGTATAGGTTATCTCATTATATAACCATTAATATTAAGCAAGTGGGTTACATATCTGAGGAAATGGGCAGGGGGACCCAAATGGTTTAGTTCCAATAGAGCCCTCCACTGTAGTTGTTTCACTTCATCTGTGTATGTAGCTTACCACATTCCTGGGACCACAAGCATGGAAACTCTGAGCAATCGTCATCGACTTTTTTCTCCCCTATTATTCTCAGTGTTGCTTCTGAATTCTCTGGCTTACCACACTGTGTTTCAATCCACATAACACGAAAATTATTTCCAAACTGTCTGAACAAATGTATTTCATATACTTATTCCTTAACCTAATGCATTTCATTCTACTGAAATAATAGTTTTCCCTTCTTATCAATATTGCCCAGCAAGAAACTCAAGCTATTTAAACAGCAAAGCTGCCAATATTTGCAATCTTTTAAGTCAGTAGAGGAATTTAGGTAATTTGTTTTTTAGTGTTTACTGGTTGGTTAATGAATATTGTGCTTAGGATTTTATTTATACAGTACCTCATTCCAAAAATAAATAATCTGAAGTGTCTTGGATATTACAGAATATAGTATGAAAGGAATTAGAATCTGAGTATTGTATAATAAAAGCAAATTTTTAGCAAATTAGCTTGCCAAATTGGAAAACATCAGAGGTTTATCTGATGCACGCACATTTTAAATTTCTGGTTGTTTCTGTAAAAAAAAAAAAAAAGTCAGTCTTTCCTCTTACTTTATACAATTATTAAAGAGAGAGAAAACAAAGTCCGTGTACTGCAGACCTATCTATATACTGAAACATCCAAATGATTGACAGATTTTAAAATTCTATTTATGAAAGGATTGCTCCTCTGTAGACATAAGAAAAATCATTTCAAAGACAGAGGCTGTGTAAGAGAAATTCTTACATGTTTAAAAAATGAAAGACTCCTCTATTATGTACCTTAATCTGGTTCTTATTCAGTTTTCTATTTTTATACATTCTGTTATAAAATCTATATAAATTAAGACTCCATTGTTTCAAAAAAACATGGTAATATAAGCATTGTGGATGATAAGCCATTTTGTTCTCAAATGTTTGTTTCTATTAGCTTGTTTTACTTCTGTTTATGTATTGTGCATATAAAACTTTAATCTTTCTATTAGGAAGGAGAAAGATGTGAATTATGTATGATGAAATTTGCAGTAACATTTATATATGTTCTTGAAGCAGCCTTGGTTGAAAAAAATCACACACATGTAATTTTTTGTGGGCCATGCACCATCCTTATACGTACTAAATATTGCATTATACTGTTTACTATTAGCTATTAATTGACTTGTAAATGGCAAACACTCCAGGTTTTTTACATGGTATTATTTTGAAAAATCCAAGCAATATCCCTTTATCATTACTACAGTGTTCTAACTTTGACAACCAAGAAAATATTTTTTTTTCAAAAGGTACATAACAGAGAACATCCCTTCTATTTGAAATCTATTTAAATGTTGTGATTTTAAATTCTTGTATTTTTCATTAATTACAGTGAGTGGAGGGATAGAGAGAATAGTTTTATTCATACAGTATCCCCCTCTCAAAATAATAATACATGAGATTATAGTTTTTTAATCTTCAGAATTTTGACCACAATTTTATTTATTAAAAAATATATCTTATAAGATTGTTTCCTTGGCTCGGCATGGCGGCTCACACCTGTAATCCCAGCACTTTGGGAGGCCGAGGCGGGTGGTTCACCTTAGGTCAGGAGTTCAAGACCAGCCTGGTCAACATAGTGACCTGTCTCTACCTGTCTCTACTAAAAATACAAAAATTAGTCAGGCATGGTAGCAGGTGCCTTTAATCCTAGCTACCCAGGAGGTGGTGGCTGCAGTGAGCCAAGATCACACCATTGCACTACAGCCTGGGAGACGAGGGAGATTCCGTCTCAAAGAAAAAAAAAATGTTTCCTTGCTGTGATTTTGGTGAAGTTAGTCACTGAACATTGGGAATAAATTGCACCTTGCCTCTTTTTCTTTTACTGAAAATGGAATATATATAAGACATGAATTTAGGGAACACACACATGTACTCACACAACAACACACCATTTCTCCCTTCCTTGGCAAGTCAGGTTTCTTTTGCAGGAATGGTAAAAATTACAATGACATGATGGTAATTCTCCATCAGTTAATACATTAGATGATGAAACTAATTCTAACTACTACTACGACTGAATGAAACTAATTCTAACTACTACTACGACTGGAGTAGCGGAAAATGATTTCAATCTATCAAAGCCACGTAGGGACCAGAGATGGGGACTATGGCTACAGTCCCAGTACCCCTCTG